CCCACCCCCCAATTCAGCACCCTTTCATTCAGTGCAGATCACCAGCTCACCTCAGGTTAACTCTTTTCTACTTGTTGCTCCCTTTTCATTCCTTCCACATTAATGATGGATGATGAAGAGGAAATGATAAGAATTATTATCCTATCAAAAGAATACAAAACTATTACAGAGCAGATTTTGACAAATGATCCATTTAGATAACTTGGAGGTCTTTTCCCAACTTGCTTCTTCTGTAATTCGATGAGATATGGGGGGGGGGGGAGGAGTTCCCACCCATAGAAAAGACACTCTGTCATTACCAACCCTTCAAGAGAGATTTCCTCTCAGGTAACAGATCAGTTTGGATTCTCCCTAGACCTGCTTAGATTATTTCTTCTCAGCCCATTTACCATTCTTGAATGCAAGAATCTGCAGGGAAAATTAAGCAGATGTGTCCCCTCCTCATGTTTTACACCAGGGGGCATTGTTGTCACACTGAATCGTGTTGCATATATATGGGGTGGGGGTGGGGTGGGGAAGTCAAGGAAACGTCTACAGGCATTTTCTCACTTGGAGTCGTCATTATATTTACTCTTAGTTTCCTAAGAGTTCACTGAAAAAATCTCCAGAACATTTAACATCTCAAGATATTAAATTCCTCACCATGACGCCATATATGAGGTGACAACAGATGTGCTTTGCTAAATATAGAAGAAAGTCAATTCTTTGGAAAGGGCAAAGTGACTGTTTTGTTTTTCTCAGTCCAATGAGTCGATGGGCATTTTTATTAGGATTAGCATTGGTATTATTATTGTCAGTATTGTTTTGTCAGTATGATTTCATTGTTTATGGCTGTCCATGCTGCTCAGTCAGCTCTGTGTAGCTAACAACAGATAAGAACACCATAAAAATCTTATGTGTTTTTTTATGTGTTTAAAAATATTATCTTATTTAAGGAATTTTCAGTGCATGATTTATGTCTCCCACCTTTAATCCCTTCCTTGAAATGTGGAGCTTCTCTCAGATTTGGCTCTTACTCCAGTGTAAACCTGCCTTTTCTCCTATGTATTCACAATAAAACACATGACAGTTCTTAGGACTGGAACATCACTGGAAAATCATGTGTGAAA